CTTCCAGGAACTCTTGTGCCACCCTCGTCTTCAGGATCTTGGGGTCGGGAAAGCGTTGTTAAAGGAGATGGTGTGGTGCAGGCGGCGGCCCACCGGCGGCGCTCGTGGTGCTCGTGTGTGGTGTGTGGTGTGTGAATAATTTGTGGTTGTGTGGTGTGCGAGATGCGAGAGAAAGAGAGAAGGAATGCATCCATCCCAAAAGTTTGTCCGCGATCGCGTGTGCACTGCGCGTCCACGTCACCGGCGGGGCGTTGGCGAGAGGCCTGACATGCGTCGGTCGGTTGAGCGAACAGCCTCGCTCGAGGTGGCCAAAACACGGTACATGTGGTTACCGTACACGGTGGCCTCGCGAGCTGAGTGGCCTCTGCAAGGTATACCGTCCGATATATTGGCCACCGGAGGGTGCGGTCCTATTTCGACCAATCACGTGGCTCCATTCAGCCTCGTTTGTATGCCGTTCTACCCTGTACCGTGCTTTGGCCACATTCCAGCACGGTATACCGTATTTTGGCCACTGCCCTTATATTATTATATATATTACCAATGCTCGGTGTTGCTGGCGGCGTGGCAGAAAATAAGATGGTGCCTATATGGTAATGCACGTTTTCAACTTCATCTGTGTCTACCTCTTGATTCCCGCCACCAATCAAGTTCCAACCCTTCTACAATATACTCTCATGGTGCTCAGTCCATCTTCCCTCAAAGTTGGTGGCGATTGATGCTGTAATGGGCGCGTTCTTGTGCTTGGTCGCTTTGGCGGGTGCACAGCAGGGTGGTTGCGCCGACAGTTTGAAGCCTACAGTAGTGGACGGAATTTGGCAAATCTTGGTTCCCTAGATAGCTACTGAAATAGTCTACTGCTGGAAACCTTTAGCCTTGGGTGGATGTACGCCGGTCGCGTTGCTCTTCTGTGTAAAACGATCATGTTTGTTCCTCCGCCATCTTTCTTCATTTTTCAGTCGTGCAGCACTGGCAGATTACTTCATCAACACCAAATAATTGTGTCGCGCAGTATCGACCACTACTGCTGTAACTTGAATGATGCTACGAAGAAGTGCTTCCAACACAGTCGCCAACTCAGCGCTAACCGAAGAAAGCATGCCGCAAACAGCAGTGCGAGTGCTGCAAACAACAGTACTACTTCTGTTTTATGCATAGTCAAGGATCACAGGCGCACGCACGAGCCGTACCGAATTCGGTCGAAAGGGCCTTTCTTTGCGTGCAAACCAACTTCGGCGGGGAACAAAATAAACAGCTTGTAGCAGCACTTTTCTGAGGTAAAACTATGCGTGCTGTCGCGCGATGGCGTCAAGTGCTAAACAGCAGCTGCATCACCACAACGAACGCGACAGCAGTAGCGAGTGGTCCAAGACCAAATGACGAAGACTGCACCTACAGTTTCAAGTGAAGCTGCGGAGGACGGAACTGTCGGAGGGATTCCATGCACTCTCTCACCTGATCGCACGCTCGATTTGCAGGCACGGTGGACGCGCGGTGTAGCCGAAACTTTCGCTCTCGAGGACGATGCACGCATACACTAGCTACTGCTGTTGTGGTCTTCCACGGTGAGCTGTTGCTGTTGTGGTCAGTTGACAGGTGTGTCAGTTGCTCTTGTTCTTTGTTGTGAGTCGTGGCTCCGTGCATCATTCGTCCCGGAAATGTATCTACCCCGAGGTACATTTTCTTTGTTGCCGACCGCTATATTCCAACGGCCGACCGTTACAAGTTACACAACGTTACGTCATGCACCTCTCCCGAATACAGCGATCCTAATCTAAGACTGGTTGTATCGGTCCGGTTGTATTCTGTGCTATACTCTCTCTCTCTCTCTCGACGGCTTCAAAGGCCTCCTTCCACGCCAATAGGTGTCAAGTGTCTGGTTGACGACAACTGCGTATCTACCGGCGGCGTAGATTTACCCCACACGCCATGTACCTCGCCCTATGTTGTAGTACAAGACTCGAATCCGCACAGGACACGAACGAATGCATTGTTGTTGCGTTGCAGGGCTATCGTGGGGCTCGTCGCGAAGCCGAAACCGCCATAGACCTCCTTTAGTCTAGGTGCTGCCACGGCCTGCGGGGGAAACAACGCAGATACTCCATGGGTGGGATAGCCGCGCATATCCCACCACCTACTACCCGGATCTCGCCCGACGAGACACAAGACGCCGATGGACACTCAAGGGGAGATTGCAACTCCTACATGTTGTTGTTGTTGTTGTTGTTGTTGTTTCTCACATTAGGCTCATGTTTATGGTTTCCAAATCTTTATCTTCCTTTGTTTGGACAAATGTTGGCTTTTTCGATCTTGTGGGCAGTCTGCCTCCCGAAAAAATGCGAATCAGCTGTTCGACCTTTGAGAACAGTCACAGCTTTGCCTGAGATGCATACAGACCGCCTATTTGTTTCGCTAGGGTCCACGTTTGATTTTTTTCCAGCAAAGCAAGATGTTGAAGATTCGGCCGAAAGGCCACCTCGGAGCAAATCTTGGGCCAAGATCTGTCCAAAAGCTGGTGTTGGAAAAATCTTGCGTGAAAATTGCGCACCTTGAAAAAATCAAACCTGGGCCCTGGCGAAACAAATAGGCGGTCTGTATGCATCTTAGGCAAAGCTGTGACTGTTCTCAAAGGTCGAACAGCTGATTCGCATTCGTTCGGGAGGCAGACTGCCCATAAGGTCGAAAAAGCCAACATTTGTCCAAACAAAGGAAGATAAAGATTTGGAAACCATAAACGTGGGCCTTATAGGGCTCTAAAAAAGAAAGATTGGGAGCCCGTGGTCTCAAAACCCGGCATACACGACCCCACGAAGAAACAGAAAAAAATAGGGTACAAAAACCACTCGGAAGAGAAACAAAATGATAGAAAGAAAGACCAGCTACCGCACCAAACGAGAAAGAGCGTCGAGGAGACCGATCAAAATAAAATAAAAGGAGAACGGGGAACGCTTCCCACACCCGCCTACAACGCCGGAGGGTTCCGTGCCGGGTTCCCGCCGACCAGGCATCCCCCGCCCTGCACCACACCCCAGGGGGTGCAGCAAGACGGGGGGCGAAAAACAAACACATATATATTCCCAAAAAAAAAATAAAAAATCGAAGGACAACGTACACCAGTACCAGGTACTACAGCAGTGCAGTATGCACCAGCGCATTAGTGTAGGGTAGGCACCGCACCAAAGAGGCAGCAGAGGTGGCAGGCAGCCAGCAAAGGAAAAAACAAAAATAACAAGGAGCTCGAGGTATCGTCCAAGATCATCGTAGAGAGGGCATGAAGAACAACATGTATGTCACTCGCAACCTTCTGACGATTGAGCGTGGGTTAGAATCTCGGTGCAGTCACACGAACGGAGATTTTTCTAGAAAATACACAACTGGCCAGACACAACGTGGAAATAATCGATAGACTAATTCCTCTCGCGTAAGCGCAAGTTCGACTTCACGGGCGGCGAGGGAAAGAAAATACACAGCTAACTGGCCAGACACAACGTGGAAGTAATCGATAGACTAATTCCTCTCGCGTAAGCCCAAGTTCGACTTCACGGGCGACGAGGGAAAGAAGGAACGGCTGATGCTTCTCGCGATGAAAATCAAGGCAGTGTGAAAAGAGGGAATAGTCCTCGACAGACGTTGGAGAGATTGTGCCTTCATGAAGGTGGACTCCCCATTACCCCCTCCTTGTTCGAGACTTGTTCTTGTTTGCTAGGCAAGAAAAGTCTTCTTGGGGTACCCGGATCCCGACCGGCTGGCGGCGGGGCCATTCACTTTTCTTCACCGTCCTCTGTGCGTGATTGTACGGGTTCGCTACGTCCCCCACGTTATCAGAAGTTCCGACTTCGATAGCCAGTGCGTCCTTCTTTGACCCAACCAGCGTTTCTCTTGTTCCGTTGTCCGGACGAAGATTTGGTGAGCAGTGGGTTTTGAACCCATGTCTCTTGCAACCAAATGCACACACTCTGACATCTGTGTCCACGCCATTGTGAAAAGAGGGAATCGTTCTCGGCAGACGTTGGGGAGATTGTACCTTTATGAAGGTGGTCTCCTGGAGCAGGCACAGAAGGAAAGGGGAGACTACAACTCCTATGCTATGTGACCCGGGGTTGTACCTCCAGAATTGTAACGAAAAGCGACGAAGATGAGGATCACGAAAAAAGACAAAAAAAGAACGATCCACATGCAAGTCCTGGAAACACCATGAGTCTTACCTAATCTACTGCTGTACATAGTCTACACTAGGCTGGGGCCGTTCCGATCGGATGTCCCATGACTTTGACCCATGGACCGTCCTCCTGGTTCCACTCCACAGTTGGACGGTTCATTGGCCAGAACGCACCACCCAAGGGCAGCCCATCAGCGCAACAAGTATCGCAGGAAAGCCGCAGCAGGAGTTACAGAATTGATGCACGCATGGGGACCACGCCATACGTCATACCGTATTCTACACAAGATACCACACCCTCATAAGATACCACACACCCCCCACAATACCACACCCCGGTGGTAATTTTGGGTGTATTTTTCAGACCATGATTTATCACCGGGGGTACACAAGATACCACACCCCGGTGATAACACAGGTTACGCCGCATACATTCCCTGTCTCTATCACCGGGGGTGAAACAGCATCACACACGCACAGCTTGTACCGTACGGGGGGAGACATGGAGACCTCAGAGAACATGAACGTGCGGGAAGAGCAGAATGCCGCCGCAAGTACATCTGCTTCTCCCACGACTGCTTCGACCGCAGCAGCACAGGCGCCACAGATCACCTCGTTCTTTCAACCCGAGCAGACTTCTACGCAAGCGGCACACCCCCTGTTTATCACACACCCGAACACACTCTTTGGGTGTTCCGACGTGTTATCACACCCCATTTTATCACACCCCCTTTTTTATCCCACTCCCAAACCCTCCCTGTGGGTGGTCGCATGTGCTACCACACCCCCTGGTTTATCACACCCCCTGAGGAGCTCCTGCGAGCTAGGCTTTATCACCGGGGTACACAAGATACCACACCCCCCCCACAATACCACACCCGGTGATAATATTTTTGAAGCCCAAAATGTTATCACCGGGGTGTGGTATCTTGTGTAGAATACGGTATGTCCGCCACGAGTGAGTGCCTTTTGCTGCATTGCAATGCGGCACGCCTCTTGTCACTGGTTCAAAGGACGCATTCCCTGGGGGCATTTGGAAACAGGGATGCATGTCTCACCGTGCATTTTCATTATTCCTGACTCACATCCCAATACTCAGCCCCAGGACAATCACCCAGGCTGCCACATATCACCGTTTAACTGTGCATACAAAGCATAGCAAGCCCACACCAGACAAGAGACATCCCACAACTTTGACCCACCACAAACACCTGAGGCCAACATGGAAGACAAAACCTCTGCACATTCCACTAACGATCAACACTACTTGTAGCCAAACCAACACGCCGCTATAGCTAGTTCTGGGGCCTCGAGGGTGGCTGACGAACACCCCCGTGACGGGGGGGTGGCGGTAGCATTAGCGCTGATCGCCTCTCCTTGTAGTAGCTGCCAAGCACACGCAGGGTAACATTTATAAAACAAGACACGCACAAGGCGTCAGAACATCGCAACGACGAAGTACCCACAGGCGCATGGGCAGCAAAGGGGCTCTTACCAAGCGTTGTGCTCCACAAAAACGTGCGGCGGGTTCACGAGGAATTCTGCTTTGTATGCAAGACCAACTACAACATCAACAAACAAGTGACATGCATTATTTCTGTTCGACATTGGGCGCTGTGAAATCATGGTTTGCCTTTCGGGTACTACTAGAATGTTGTTGCAGCACATAATGAACATGGATTTGTACGTTCAACGGTGGTGTACGGCAGAACGGACGCAATATGTCGTCAAGAAAATTCAACGAAAACAACAGAAGCTCGGGTCTCACTCATTGAAGTCCAATCGGAAGATGAGGAACCTCAGAATCTCCATCTTGCCGCATTTTTGCTCCAGCATACACATGAGCTCAGATAGCTTCTCCTGCGAGCACAGATGAACGAAAGCATCGGACATGGAATAGGCTGGCATGAACAACAACGTGAAGCACTCGAATTTTGACATCGAGGCTTGTGCTGCCCCCCAAATCGAGATATCACTCTATTGTAGTGCTGGGGATGAAAATGTTCGGACTCGACAGCTCACTCAGGCTATTCCCACTTGTTCGGAGAATTCAGAGAAGAGTTCTGCGCCCAGCGAAGGGGTGCCGCCAACGGCGTGTATCCCTCCAAATAGGCCCGACAAAGGGCGCATATCACGACCGACAAGACACAAACAACCTCGGGAAGACAACCGATGCCAATAAAGATAGCACATACTTCGAAGTATGTATCAATGCACGATACACAACCGTGCGGGCAAGTGCTCGGCAGCAGCACTGCCAGCAGCCGAGGCCACCAGCTTACAGCTACAGCTACGTGCTGTCTGCATGTTTGCTTTTTGCATGTTTGGTTGCTGCCGCCCGACGAAACCTACCTCAAATCGGCGCGCGGTATCTTCGATGTTACCCATTCCGAAGGGGTCCCGCCCCAACCGTCTACCCCCCTGTGCCGTACCGTCCTCTGTGCCCCACTGCCCCATTGCAGTTCGACGGTCTTTGTCAGCCTGTTCCGCCCTGTTGGGGTTAGGTACATGTAGGCCGTCACCGGGTACGCCGTCAGTCACCATCGAAACACTACGGACACAAGTGGCGCTGGCCCTGTGCTTGAGGCCAGGCCGGCACAGACGACGGTCGAAAATCAACAATCGACAATCAACATCAATGCCGAGCTCGGCTTGCTTCAAGACCGGAAAACAGTCCTTTCTGGGTTGCCGGCACGGCTCAACTCCGAATTCCTAATAAGGGAAAATTCTCGAGCGGAAGTTCTCATCCTCAGAAGACCACAACCCACAAAATTGGACGTTTTCTCACTAGACGCAACACTGCGGTTGGAATGGTACGGCAGAAACGGTATGGTATGTAATGGTGCGGCATCTTATGGTGTGGAATGGTGCAGCATAGTATGGTATGGAATGGTGCGGCATCGTATGGTAGCGTGCCTCACCTTCGGGTGGTAACCTCTGCCATAGCACGGATGACGAGGCTCTCCTGATGTCGGCAGAAGTCGATGATGATGCCTAGGACCTATTATTGTTGTTTCAACATTCGTCTCAGATATTGTCGTCGTTGCCGTGGCCCCCCCACAAGCCAAGGGCATCCAAATATATGTTTATCATTATTGCTAAAGAGTAAGCGCCACATTTCCATCATTCGAGTGGACTACTGATCAATGAAAACACCCCAATCGTTTTCAAATCAGCTACATCCCTTCCGTTCGTTGTCACACAAACATGACATCGCGGCGGCTGATTGTACTGTAAACAATCACGCCCCCCGGGTGGTCGGCAACAAAGACATATCTCAGGTCCTAGATAGCATCCTAGGTGGTACAATAGTGGAATTCGTCTTGGCAGGAAATAGCAGAATTGTCGGGCGAGGAAACATGAACAACGCAGGTACATCCATCCTACAACCCCCAAAATAAACTTCAACCCGTTTAGGATAGTGGCAAGGCGAAGCATACGGTACTCGCGAACGCCCAAAGGTACAACACAGGTAGTTCCGTTGTCGTACGCAGGTGCCACCACCTGCTAGGCAACTGCTGTTGGCGCCAAAAGTAGTGGGCAGCGACGAAGCAGCAAGATTCACAATTCCACACACCCAATACGGGAAGTTTGATAGGACAGAAACCAATACTAAACAAGACCTCGGCGAGAGAGAGGCTGGCCATAACAGGTCTTGTAGTCCGTACTAACCTCCTCCACCTTGTTCTTCACGTCCGTGCTCTCTTCGTTCAGCATAGCCCTGGCAAGGATGCCCTTCATGTAGGCCTTGTGCGCTTGGATTATGTCGTCCAGGGTGAGGGCGGAGTCGAGGCTGTTCTGCAGAGTGCCCCATGAAGTCTCCAGCACCTCGAACATCATGTAATTGCTGCGATGGGGGGGAACGGCCAAAAGCAGCTGAGAGCAGTAGCCATCAAGTTACCGATCATCGTGAAATGTGTGGCAAAGGGACCGCACAAGCAGATTTGAGACGAGAACAACAACAGCGGCATTTACAGCAACGAAAATGGCGAGAATTGTGGGAACACCTGCAAGAATGACAACAGCCAAAAACCTCGACCACCAAAACAGCAATGCGATGAGCACAACAACACCTACAACAATAGCACAGAGAGCACGTCACCGGACATCACAAGATGCCTCAACGGCAGCGAATACATCAAAATACAGAATCGGATCCAACATAAACGTGAGCTCAGGATGGCGGGAATGGAGAACACGCATCTGCTGCCAGCACTACGACACGCAGCAGTCACAGACACGGAAAGACTCAGGAATCAGACCAAGCGCAGAAGCCCCCGCGACTCCCATGCTACCTGGCTCGACCGTATATGGTAAAACATGCCATAGGCCGTCGTGAGGAATTCTCCACCCCTGCTTTCAAGCAGGAGCGCGTGTCTTCGTCCGAAGCAAGCTCCAAGTTGGCAAGGACCGTACACCATACACGAGGAGTTCGACACAACCGCTGTGCCCTTTCAAAATTCCAGTTCACTAATGGTCGTGTCCCAACCGTCACCTCTACACCGGGGGAGTCTAGCTACATTGCACACGATAGTTGTTGCAGAGCAACAGCGATAACGCCGACGGGCCTCTTTGGCTGTTGCTTCCCAAGGAACATGACGCACGTTCATGTCGCAGAGACAGACCGCCCCAAAATCGAAAAACACACAAACGTAACCTGAAAAGACGAGGCTAGGGCTAACCTGAGGTTAGTGGTGAGGAAAAACATCTGTCCGCGAATTAGGCTGCACCGGTGGAGCGCGCCTCTCAGCTCCGGAAGGGCTTGCTCCAGCTGTGGTCCAATAATAATATTGCAGGAGTATTGTTTTCGTGTGTCAGCACGCCGACGTACCAAGGCCAAGTCAGAAAGACCGAAATAGTACAATAACCAGCATGAGCGTGATAGACAGGGGCATCGTTGTACAGCACCAGGAGACAAAAGGGGGCAGCATCTTAACCGTAAAGGACGTGGGTTCGACTCTCGGCGGCGCCACTAGACCTGGGATCTGTTCTAAAAAATGCAGCCACGAACGGAGATCGCCTACTTCGCGGGAAAGGGGCGGCTTCATCAATCCTTCGAGCCATGACAAAAACATCGCACACACCCGAAGAGGTGTGTTGAGACGGCATGTGTCCGCTACCGCACGATGGCGCACAAAGGCCAAGTACAACAAGCCATCGCAACACACCAGCAAAGGAAAAGCACAGCATGGGGCAGCAAGACGAGAGAGCCCAAGAAAGCTACAAGACAGTGGGCGCGGATGATGTCGTCAGTCAGAGTTGAAAAGAGCCAATAAAGGGCGGGTTGGTGCACCACGGCAGGCGCAAGAAAGTATTTCTTTGCTCTCGCTCGCTCTCCCTCTCTTTCTGTGTGTGTGTGTGTTTCTCTCTCCCCTTCCCCCAATGTCTTGATGTCTCCCTCTCGCTGTCACCATTCGCTGTTGCTCACCCGGACGTGTGTGGCGCTTGTGTGCAGTCGCCAGGCCGAAGCCAGGCTCCACTCTGCCCGCTTGATACGCCAAAGCAGGTGAAAGACTCTTCGGTACTCGACTAGCACCTGAGGCACGAGACATCAGACACCGGAGATGGCCATTTGGAGACAGGCACGAGAAATGAGTCCTGTCGCCGGAGTACCCTCATGATCGACATCCTCACCCGTCACACCAAAGTATCACCGACAACGTTGCCATCATGTCGACCTTGACCTCCATGCCAGTACAACTAGTTCAAACACCACGTTAACAGCAGTTCGTTCCCGATGCACAACGCTTATTCGGCCCAAACACACCCTGACAAAAACATCCCCGAGGCACAATTCATCAGAAAAACGGCGAAATCGCACCCAAAACACTCGCGCTTCTTCTCTTTGCGAGAACGGTGACCATCCAACGCTTGTGACAACACCGAGAAGTGGTAGACTTTAACCTTGCAAAGGCTAGTGGACTCCCGCTGGGCTCCAAGAAGAGCGTTTCCTCGCAAGTCCATTTCATGCTATGATTGGGAAACAACAAACTCGTCAAAACACGGCGCACGTACTATCATCACGGAGGTACATTTACACTGAAAAATTCCGGGATGTGCACAACTGCCGAGGCAAGGGGAAAACCACCCCTCGACAGGTGCTTACCTCTTTCGTAACCACGGTCGAGATGGGAGCGCCTACATTGTACTCGAGCGAAAAAACATCCCATCCCCTGAGAATGGAGAGGGGGGGGGGGGGGGGG